AGAGAGAGAGAGAGAGAAAGAGCTTGGATTTGTCCCCACATGTACACTAACAGCATTTTTATCCCTTGTCTGACTTGCATGCGTTATCAACATTACCAGCCCTCAGAGATCCAATATTAAGCTACTGTGGGACGCAACAGGACTTATGCTTAAACGACAACATCCGTGCAGGTTTCTGTAACAATGAGGCAGCAGCTGTCCCTCAACCCCAACCCCTTTTCTGTTGTGTTTGTTTCAGATATTGTTCCAGTGGGAATTATCGCCGGTGGTACGGTGGGCTCCTCCATTCTGCTACTCATGTTTCTACTGGCGCTTGCCTTCTTCCTCTACCGCCAACGCAAAGGCAGTGAGTGCACACAGTGGCTCTCTAATGTGTGTGTGTGTGTGTGTGTGTGTGTGTATAGGGGTACTGTATGTGTCCATCAGTCTTTCTTTCATCCACTCTCCCTATCTGTCATTCTGGCTCTCTGCGTTTGAAGAAAAGAACATATGTCAAGCTGTATAGCATTTTATTCAAATGAGATTAATGAATATTCATATAATATGGCAAACTGCCTTAAAACGCCTACTGTACGTTTCCCTTTTGATTCCATTGACATGGAATTGTATGATTATTTTTTAAATAAATCGTATTTATATGCCGCTTGTACACTAGATGAAGTGCATAAATAACAGAGCAGAAAACAAGAGCATTTAAAGGTGAATAGTATTTAAATTATGAATTCCTATATGATATTTCTACAGCCTAGGGCAAATCCAATTAGCTTTTATAAACACAAACCACACTTCCGCAAACCAGGGAGCCATGAACGTGTGGTGTCTTTTAAGTTGTTTAATTTTGAGCTGCTCCATAGCAAATAAAGAATCGGGAAAGACAACGAAGGTGACTGGCAGAGTCCCCAGAGGGATTTTCTGGGGATAAGAGTATATTTTCTGGTTCAGAGCTGATAACACCACTTCAGAGAAGATATGGTTTGGAAATAGAAACTCAAACAAACATCGCCGTGGCTCCAGATAAGCCGTCTCTCATTTATTGTATGATGCAGCTGAAGACTTCACAGATTTAAATCTTTACTTTTAAGATTTCTGCTTTTGGAAGAGAGCTGTTCATGTTGACAAGTATTGACTGCACCCTACTATGGTAGGGATATATCAATTAAGTGAGTAGTATTCTCAGTTTAGGCTGCACAAAATAGTGTTTAACATATATGCCTGTTTTTTTGGCCCGAAATCCAATTTATTTTTCTTTCTTGTGTATTTTCTTTCATATAAAATACTTTCCTATCCCACCATAACTAAAGCCTTTTTAATGAAATGACTAAAATGAATGAATAAAATATATTTAATCTCTACCTGTGCATATTTAACCTTGTGCTGCTGTAGCCTTTATGTTAATGTGACAGCACTCGATTCAAACTTGTGCCTTGTCTGAATTGTTACATGAATATTAGTGGTCTGACCTAATAAAATTGCCGTCGTGACTTTCATGCAAAAGTGACTCTGGTGCTTCATCAAATATGAGACACAAACAATTGCCAGCACATTTATTTACAGCAAGGTATAGGTCTGAGATTCATCTTTTTGCTCAGAGTATTGCATTTCTTTTTCTGTTGCATATAGTATTTGGTCAGGAGTTAAACAAAAAATTGAAGAGAAAACTGGAATAAATGCAGACCCTTTTTACCACCTTCTGCTCCACCAGAAACTAAGAGCAGGTATTTAAATATTAAGGAGTCTACAGTTCAGTATTACAATATCCTGTACAATGTCTGAGTGATAAAGTCCTCAGACACCTTTTCCTGGCTTTTGATACTATGGCCTTATGTAGAATTTAATCCCCTATGCGTAGATGTTTTTAACGTGATTACATTTTTTTTTTGTTTGTAGAAAAATAAGACAACCTCACAGTGTCTTTTTAAAATTGGACACCATTGTCAGAAATGTAGAAATCCTACACATACACTTGGGGCTATATCATCAACAATCATAAGACCTTCTGACTGAAAGATCTACCATAAAATGTTCATCTTCATTTCCAACGCTTGCAGCCTCTAAGAGGATATTTATACCATGGGAATGTGCCGTTCTCTGACATCTCATTTCCTCATGGTGAATACTGAAGTCTTCAAAATTCAAATCATTATCTCTTTCCGCCTTTTGAGGCTGCCAGCATGCCAAATTGCTTAATGCACCAATATCAACAGAGAGAAAATAAGAGAAACAAGGCAGATAATGAGACGAAGTCAGATAAAAAAAAACATTAAAGATAATAAAGTGTTGTTGTTGTTGTTTTGGTTGCTTTTTTTAACCAGACTGTTAAATAGTTAAATAAATTATCTTGACGTTAACCCAGAATATGACCAGAGGTTGTGTTTTTCTTCCAGGTCGCCGGGGTGTCACCCTCGGTAAACCAGACATCAAGGTAGAGACGGTCAACAAAGAGACCCACAGCCTGGAGGAGGAGGCAGCCGACGTCTCCACAGCAACCCGAATGGTCAAGGCCATGTACTCCGTGAGTAGACACCCATCTGAGTCACCGGGGGCCGTGGAGAGGAGGCGCATGGGTCAATGGCCTTAAATGTACAGATACACCGACACAAAGGGCAACATGGCAGGAGAGGCAGACACACACATTCGCACTTGAAAGTACACACGTGAACACACACAATGAAACAGACACAGATGCACAAGGCCTGCCTGCGAACACACACAAAAACACATTCTCACACATCATAAATATACATACAAACACGCACACTCAACTCAAAATCTACTCACAGTACATGCACAAAAATATTTGCGAATACCAAAAAATCACACGCACACAAAGAAAAATTGATAGTACACACGCATTTATTCCTACTCACACATAAAGACACAGACACTCTTCTTCCTTTTAGAAGAGCGTTCAACCCTGGAGGTGCTGGAGAATCTAATCGACAAGGCTCTCCTGAAGCGGTTTTAAAGCTCGGCCCAAAACCTTTTTTCCAAACAACTAACCGTTTCTCGTCTTCCACTCTCTTGGGATGAAAAACCTGAAACTCTGTTTTCCTCTCCCCTCCCTCTCTTCCTTCTCCTTTCCTTTCTTACCCTCCCTCTTTCCGTGTGTGTGTTTCGTTGTTTGATGGTTTAGTTTCTGCCCTCTGTTTCCCTCTCTCCCTCCACTCAGCCGTTCAAAGACGACATGGACCTGAAGCAGGACATCAGGAGCGAGAGCGACACCAGGGAGGAGTACGAGCTCAAGGTGAGATGGCTGCTCGCTCGATATTTTGGCATTTTTATATTTCTTTCAGCAGCATCTTGAACATGATATCTTGCATGGTGCACAGACGTTTCATATGTCATGAACTTTGTGGTCATATCCATTATTAAGAGGCCATTTACCAGTTCCTACTTTTTCCCTCAGGTTCAGCATTTGCACTGAAGTTAGAAGCTTGGTTTTTATAACAATACTACATTCATTCATAATCTGTTCTGCTCATGTATCCAAAAAACAAACGCTGGTGATTATTTTATGCATCATTTGCAGGATTCTGCCAGGACAGAGCATTATCAACCCCACATTTTGTTTTCTTTAAGCTAGACTGGAGCTAAAATCTCTTTTTAGTTTTAGTTCCCACTTTTACAAACCAACAAAACTCAAGGAGAAAACAAACTTACTGCTTATCCTGCTAAAATTAAGTTGTATCACTGTGTCTCGTGTTCATACACATACTGTGCACTGCATCGCTCACACACCATTACATTTTTGGACATAGCATGAACAACAGCACGCCACCAACTGCACCGACATCACCAACCACATCAAGCTGCAATGTGACTGACAATATACAGTACAAACAATATGAGGAGGATGTAGTATGGTATAATAGGAGACGTGTTAAGAGTTAAGTTGTCTGGGTCAGTATCTTTTTACTTTTTTCTACAGTTTTTTACTTGAAATCTGTTAATGCTATAAGTACAACACGATAGTTCCATGTGCCTCTACATACAAGCTCCCAGTCTTTCTTTATAACTGACACCATTACAGAATTATTTACACCCAAATGTGAAAGAACTACCATGGCTTGTTTCATGCCAAGCTAACCGAAACACAATCAGATGTTTAGGTGTCTTTACCACTCAACCAGTGTTGTTGTTCTTATATACCGGACCGGTACACTTAGAATAGGACTAAAGTACTAATAATCTCCCCTCTGATCACAGGATCCAACCAATGGCTACTACAATGTCCGAGCCACCACCCATGATGAGGCGCGCCCCCAGTCCCGTGCCATCCACTACCAGGGAGAGTTTCGCTCCCCGAACCCAAACAGCGGACCAGCTGGTGCCACTTCCGGCGGACCCCCAGCTGGCGCCAGCAGTGCTGTTCCCCCCAGCGGAGTGCCAGGTTCAAGGGCAGGCTGCTACGACCCCCGCCCCCCTTCCAGGATGTCCCATGCCACCTATGCCCAATTCAACACATTCTCCAGGGCGCCACAGAGCCAGCAACCACCTCCCAATCCAGCTCTTCAATCGCCTGGAGATTACCCCGGAGACTGCGGCCTGCTGGACAACACAACCCAGCTGGCCTACGACAACTACGGATACCCCTCCCAGTATCCCAGCTACCGCATGGGCTTTGCTCCACCTATAGAGGAAGGACCAGCCTATGAGATGTATCCAACAGGACAAGGGACCGGGCCAGGGCCAGGGCCAGGGCCAGGGCCAGGACCAGGGCCGGGACAACAAAGTCCTGAAACCGGACTAGGGCAGTATGGTAGCTCCACTCGCTTCTCGTACTCATCTCCGCCCTCTGACTATTCCCAAAGACACACACAGCGGATGCAGACTCATGTTTGAGAAACACACATACACACTCTTTGACTTGCTTTTTGCAGCAGCAGTACTTATTACACATAAAACAAAATCATAATAAATATAAAAAAAAATACATGAACAAATCTGTTTTCTGTTTCCATCGCATCCAGTGCATGGAATTTGGTTCATTTTCTGAACTAATGAAACACGCCAACAACGCACAGTAGTTAGCAGCATCGCATATAATACAGTTAGCAGCAATACATACAATACATGCAAAGCGACATTCACACACATTTGCGCAGACCTTCTGTTGCGTGCAGTGTTTATGCTCCAACAAAAGCAACAGCGAGAGCCACAATCAAGAGAAAAGAGACAAAAAGAGAAGAAGAGCACTATGAAGACAGGAAGAAGAAGAGTGCTAGGAGCTTAAGGAGAAGGAGATGATCCTTTTTCTTCCTGCAATCCTCGTCTTGCTCTTGGATCATCTCCCTGCATCACATTTTCCTCCATCCACCCCATCTCTGTAAATAAGCGCAAATGGAGATTTGGGTCATTTTAAAGTTATTTCCTTGTACAAACCTATACAGTGTGATGCAGTACAGTGACTCACAGCAAACCTCCCTGTAATACACACTTTTTGCATTTTCCTGACTCTCACATATTGCAAAAAAAAAAACACACACATACAAGCAGATCTTTAAAGACTTATTTGTTTCTATGTACTGCAGCAACGGGGCAGCTTGGACTATAAATATATTTGGCACTTTTCGATCCCCTTTCCTCACTAAAACCTGCCCAGTGGCCATTGCTTACAAGATCTACCTTGATTTAAGTGGGACAAAGCTTCTTAAAGTGGTACAGTTAGTGACCAGAGTGCCAATGCTTATGTGCCAACACACACAATCTATTAAAGGTGTGTCTTCTTTTGTAAAGAGTGGACAATGAGATTCTCTGGACAAAGAGGTTTTTTGGATATGCCACATTTGAGAGAAAGGGAAAGGAGTGGTAGCAAGCGTCTCTATATGCTCAATCTCTTCCTCATCTCGCATTTTTTATCATCATGATACATTTCTATACTTAACATTTCACTCGAGGTCAATGCTGTATACAGTATTCGTGAAACGAGGTGTGGCGGGAGCGCTTTTTCATTCAATGAATTTCTGCAATTTGTACAAAAAGATACCTCCCCTACCCTCAAGTGTCAAAAAGTATTTGTTTCTCTCACTTGCACAGTAGGATAGATTTTTTTTCCATATTTATACCGAAACGTATGAAAAAAAATGGCATTCAGAAACATTTTATAGTATTTTTATAAGGAGTTGTGGACCAAAGGTTCAGCGTTTTGGGTGAAACTCACTTTTTAATGTGTATGTGGCGATGTGATCGTTATTGGAAACGTTTTGAGTTTCTTTAAAAAGCGATGGATGGTGTTTTTAAAGTGGATGTTGTAGATTTAAATTAGAAAATCCGAAGAGCTTCTTTCCAAACTGACTGATATCCAGCAAGGGAAAATCTTTTTGGTGAATATCTCTGTTTGGTGTGAAACTCTTTCTTTGACTTCCAGTCTTCTGACTGGACTGCCTTCTTTCAAACGTCGACGACATTCAAAATGATGGATGACAACAAGCAGCTGCCCACTTTGAGCGCTGCTGTAAACTTTGTAAGCGATGAGACGGTTCGATGAGTGTAGTCTAACATATCAAAATGAAGGTACAGATGGTTCTATCTAGCTCATATGGTACTTTGTACATTTATATGTTAGTATGCTGGTTTGTTCAACAGAAAATTTGGTGGTATTTTATGTCTGAGAGTTTTCCATTACATTGTGTCAGCTTTGGTACGTGTAATTGGCCTTTAACCGCGCAGGTTCGTAATGATCAGTGTGTATACTCTAACCTCTACTGATGCAGCTACTGTACAAGTCCCATGTTTTAAGAATCTCCACCACCCTGCTATCATTTTGTTTTTCACCAAGAGAGAAAATCTGATTTGTCTGTTTAGTCTCCGCAGAAAATCTTGCAACTTCTGCAGCTGTTGGAAAAACTCTCCAAATTCACACTGTGATCAGCTTACAAAAGGCTGACAAAAGCAGTGTGGATTGTACCTGTCTACCGTAGCAGTTGAGTGAGTTAAGTTTGAACCATAAAATGATTTCCTTGCCTGATATTAAAATCTTGAAGAGTTATTATAAGTAAGAAGTTTTAAAAAGGAAACCTTACTTTTCCAAAATTACTTTACCAACAATGCCAACTGTGGATGCAACTGTTGACCCAGCGTTTTAAGACATTTAGATAGTGGTAGAGAACTGAAAGCTTTGAAGCTCTATTTTGTACTCTTCACATAACAAAATCACATCTTTAACATAATTCAGGCAACTAATTGGCTGTTAATGAGGAGCACAAGAAATTCAGTTTTATCCAACTTATGTGAGATATTTCTCCAGACATTCACCTCAACAGGAAATCATTTGAGCCACTTTTAATGTTGCTCGCCGTGTGAAGAGCCCTGAAAACACTTGTATAAAGCAGCTACTCGTGCTTAAGTAAGATCAGTGAAAAACAGTTGCCATTGTCTGCCGTGAAGTTCACCGGTTCATGGTTGAATTGGTTCATGTTTGAAAACTGAGCTTTGTTGGCGAGACTGGATTGGATTGCACCTTAATCATACCATCGCACAACTTCACCTTTTATGGTGACAATCATGTGTTGACGCCACAGCAGCAGCATCAATCTTTAATATATACTGCGCTTGAAATTATGAGGTTCCATCATTAATGCAACTTTTCTTTCTTCATTTTCTTAAGTCACATTAAATAATACATGACATTTTTAAATTTGTTTTGACAACCAACCATTGTTTTTTTCAACAATTAATTTTTTCCTTTTCTTAAGGGCACATATGCTTTATTGGATAATCAAAGTAATCAAGACTTTATGCAACAAAGATTCACCCACTTCTTTCTCGACCATACATTTTGTAAGCAGTTAAAAAATGATAGATGAGATGGTGCTTTTCAAAAGACCAGAGGTTGAAAAGTGAAGCCAGAAATCTCACCACCTCTAGAGGTAATCATTGAGTCTTTATACTTATCAGCCACCCTATCAACCCCTCACAGATACAGTATATTATGGTAATTGCTATTGTGCTAAGGGGCAGTAAAAAGTGTATTTATTGCTTCTATTTTGAATAAACACTTTCAGAAAGGAAACCACAGCCACACCATTTCTGATTAGAATATCAGATGGAACCTTGTAGCTCCAAGGTCACTATATAAACCATTTCACTAGTTATAGAGGGAAGAACGGCAGATGGAGCGCCCTTTTAAATTTATATGGTTATCACAGCCTTGGTACTGCATACTATTACCTCTTTACAACCTTTTTACAGAGTTGTAGCGGTGCAGTATTTTGCATCTGACTTGAAATGTCGTTATGACCTTGTGTAGAATGAGTAAATTTGACACCGAGGAGGTTCTGAGGCCAACAAATACACAGCCAGGCCATCCAGGTACTTAGTCATTACCTCTTAACTATTTACAGTCTGTTGACAGTGGGGACACATAAATATGTAAAAGACACCATAGATGCCAAAAATTTAAAAACAGAGGTTATGATTTGGTTCACCATTGAAAAATATGCGGTTTAAGAGGGAATCTGGAATTGTTTACTCCACTTGGTTGTTATTTCATGTCTTTTTCCCTGTTTTCCCCTTACGTACCTCTCTCCGCGGTACTGATGCGCTTTACTCTCTACTCTTTCCCCTGTGTCATATTAATAACCACCTACCAGCTTCCAAATTTAGAGGTTGAACCTGTCTTTTCATGAATAAAAAAAAAACTCCTCACGACATAGCAAACCTTTCTCTCATAGCTTTCTTCCAAATTTTGATGATAACATATGGAGTAGGTATAGCAATCTAGCTTGTATTATTGTGTGTATGTTGGGGATTGGGAGTCTGTTCATGACATCAGTGTTCATTTATTTCTTGTTTCTTTCTATGAAAATCAGTATTTTAAGTCTTATTTTCTTGATATTACTTTATGGTGTTACATCACCAGTAGAAGAAATGACTGTGGTCAAAAGTGTGTGTTTAAACTTTTATATACAGTATTTTATTTTGCGTGCATCGGATAGGGGGGCTCTGATTAATCAACCCAGTGAATAAGAGAGAGAGGGGTTGTGTGTCTGTGGCCAAAACGACTGCTCAGCCAGGCCACAAATAGCCAAAACTCTGTCTCAACTAGGCCAACCCAGGCTAGAACCAGGCCAGACCCACAGCTAACTGCTCTGTTCCATGCTGTGCTGTGCTGTGCCATCTCTGGCCAAGACTGACTCAAGTGGCTCAGTGTCCATTTTTACCTTTTGGAGTCCTCAGTGAGTGCCAAAAGACTGTGCAAAAAAAAAAATACAAAAAAGTGAACTGAGCAGACAAACAAATGCAGCAGCCATTCGTGTTTATTGTGTTTATGTGTGTGTATGCTCATGGGTGACAGTGTGTGTGTTTGTATGTACGCTACCTAATGTTTGTGTCTCCATACATGCACATGTACTGTGTTGGGACCACTGGACTGTAGAAATTAGGGTTTGACTGATTGTTTTGGGCCAATATGAGATTGCTCAAGCAGTAACGATGTCATCTGCTGGTATGATGGAGGTTCCTCCTGAGCACAGCTACACACAAATGGTCTGAAATTTAATTTCCGTTACAGATTGTAGTCGTTCATTTAATTGTTCAATAATCATTTTTGTAACATTACAATCAATTAAAAGGCAGTATCATACCTAACTGATGTTAAAGTTAGATTCCTTAGGATTTTTATGAAATAAAACCCCATTTTTGATTCTATTTATGAAATCAAAATGGTATCAATGCAGCCATTTAATGTATTTACAGTCACTGCCTTGTGATCTATTTTTTTCAGTGATTAATATTAGAGCTTGAGCCGAATCAGAGCTTTGTAGGCGGGATCAAGGACGGCGACATTATCTTCCTGTGCTTGCTTTAGCACAAGGACTAGCTACTTTCAGGAAAAATAGAGACGAGAAACAAATGTGAATGAAAATGATTCAGCTTTACAAGTCGTTGTAACTGGACTTATGGAAATAACTCTTAAATCAGCATATTTCCTCGGTCATTGTGAAAATTGTTAATTGGTCCTTTAGCAACCGCTACCGCATCCACGTCAACTGACTGATAGTAGGGCAAAACAAAACAAAATAACCCTGACTCCCAAACAAAGATCAGGCAACATTACCACAATGTCAGACTGAATAATTAAGTGAAATGATAATTCAGTCTTATTATCAGGCGAGTGAACAAAACACAAGTTGCTGTTCTGTTCTGTGTAGCCCCTCAAGGCCACTTTACTGCCCCTAGTGGTAGATAAACATGCCATTTTAAACAAAACGCATGGAACTGTATCAAAATACCACAAATAAACCAAGACTAAAATCTGAAGGATTATAACTTTAAACTGCCTTTAAAATCTAAACTGTAATCATAATTTTATTTTACACTTTATTATCAATAGACACTTTAAAAGCATTTCCACCTTGTCAAGAAGATTCAGTTAGAAATGCTGTTTTGGGATTAAAAATAGCACATTTTGAAGGTTAAATATTGTCAGCAGAGAAACCATATCAGTCAAACCCTCGTATAAAGCAGGACAGCTGGTAAGACAGAGTGAAGGAGACATTGCGTGGCCTTAGGACACGAGGAAGGAGCCGAGCTCGTCAGCTCGTCCCTCATCCAGCTGCTGAGCCTGTCTGCTCTCTGAAACAGCTGCACGAGTGAACAGGATTAATTGATGTTCAGCTCGGTGTCGTTAAGCATATGAAGACAAAGATCAGTACAGTGAGAAGGATTCCATATTGCACTTGCAAATGTTTGAAGTGGAGGTGTGCATGTGGGTAAGAGAGGAACAGTGTGGGTGTTTCAAATAAGCATATATTCTCCATACTACAATTCTTTATTTTTATCCCTATATATTGTTCACATGTGTATTATGTTCATGTTGGGTTTGAGTACTTGTTTATCCCTTTTATTCAAGAAAAACGCCTGTACAAAACATACAAGATATTATTAAAATTTCCCTTTATTTCTCTGTTTGATTTTTGTTTTTGTTTTTTGTTTTTTTTGTTTCAAATTGTATGTAATTATTTTTCCACAGTATTACAAAAAATAAAAGAAGACACAGCTTTCATAAGAACAGCAGCAAAGGCTCCTTTATTTTGTATTTATTTATCATGCCGAAGCCTAGTTTAATGAACTATACAGAGAGTTAATTTTATTAAATTATATTCTGTTTTTGTAGGGCAGGATGTGGCTTAAAAATGGTTTCGGCGCTTTACTTTGAAAGAAGTTTGTGTATCACACGTACTGCTGTTTATTTAGGTCAAACTATGAATGACTGCACCCAAACACTTGTTATGACAGTTTCTCATGTCGAGCAGCTAAAGTTGAGAGTAAGTGCGTGTCTATGTATAGCACACAGGCAGTGTTTTTACCTGAGTGTGACAGTGGAGCTTGGAGCAACACCGAGACAAACGTCTGCGGAGTCTCTCCTCTCATTTAAAAACTCATTTCTGGTCTGTCCTCCTTTTTTCCCTCCTCTTTTCACCTCTTCTCTTCCTCTTTTCCTTTCTGCCTAATCTCTTTACAATTATTCGAATGTCCTGCTTTGCTCTTCTACTTTTCTCTCCTCTTCTCTTTCTTCACGTTGTCACTCCTTTTCACACATAATGTTCTTCTAATGTGCTTTGAACATCTTTTCCCTTACACTTAGTCCTTAGTCCTCCTCTCTTCTCTTCTCTCCTCTCCTCCAGTCTCTTTTTTACTCTCATGTCTATAACATCCTCTCCACCTCTTCTCTCGCCTCTCTAACCTTTTCCTTTTCTTTCTTTGTTTTTCTTTACTCTCCTCTTCTCCTCAGTAGTCCCCCTATTCACTCCTCCGTCTTGTGTCTCCTCTCCTTATCTTTAGTTGTTTCTTCTCTTCTCCTCTCCCCTCCTCTGCTTTTGCTTCATCTGCTCAGTCGTTCTCCCACGTCCCCAACCATCTCCGGTTTCCCCTCTCTTTTCCTTTTCTGTGTCTGTTCTTCATTGCCACATCTTGTCAATCCTCCTCTCCTCTCTTTTCACCCGTATTCCCTCCCTCTATCTCCTCAGTTCTTTCTTTTTGTCTGTTCTGCTCACCTCTTCTTTTGCTTCATCCTCTCATTCCTCTTTACATACACCTTTCTAACCTCCTCCACCTCTCCCCTCCAGTCTTTTTTCTTTCACTTGTCCTCAGCCCTCCTTTCACTTGTCTCTTCTTCTCTCCTCACCTCTTATCTCACCTCCTCTCATCACCAAACCTCCCCTTTCTCCTCTTTCTCTGTCCTCCTTGTCCTTTCAACATTTATCCTTTTCTCTCTCCTCCTTTCATCCCCTGCTCCTCTGGTCTTCTCCTCCAGATATGTCCTCAGTCCTTATTTCCCCTCCCCTCTTTTTCTCTTTCTTTCCTCTCCTTATCCAACTTTCCTCTCCTCTCCTTACTCCTCATTTCACAATTTTTTCTGACCTCTTCACCTCATGTTGTCAGTCCTCCTCTCACCTCTGCAACCTTCTGCTGCTCTCCCCTCTTTTCCCTCTTCTCCTTTTTCCCCTTGTCAGTCCACCTTTCAGAACTGTCTTGTCTACACTTTTTTCTTGCCTCATCCTTTCAGTCCTCCTCTGTCCTCCTTTCACCTCCCCTGACTTCTCATCTCCTTTTGTCCTCTCCTCTCTTTATTCCTCCTCTCACCTCTCCTACTCTCATTTCACTTCTCTTGCCTCACCTCATGTTGTCAGTCCTTCTCACATCACTGCAACTTTTTCCTCCTCTCCTCTTCTTTCATCTTTCCTCCCACTTCCTCTCTTCTTTTTTCTCCTCAGTCATCCTCTCCCTTTTTCAGATTTTGCAGTAGCTCTTGACAGTTCCACTCTCACCTGTCCAACCTTCTCCTCCTCTCTCCAGGTGTCTCTCATTTCCTCCTCTCTGTCCTCCTTTTTTCATTCTTCTCCTCTCATTCTCTCCTCGCTCAGTTCTTCTCCCCTGTTACTCTTCCACTCCTTACATCTTTTCATTTCTCCCTTTCCCTGTTTTTCGGCCCCTCTCTCCTCTCTGCTACCTTTTTCTCACTCGTCTTCGTCTCATTACTTCTCCTCACTCCTCCTTTCACCATTTTTCTCCCCAGTCTTCCTCTCCTCTCTAGTGAATGACAGGACAGATGAGGGTGGAGAAAAAGCGAAAGCAAGAAAAAAATAACAGACATGGCAGGAAAAATAAAGACAAGGACAGAAAACAGACAGGACACATCATAGCCTCCCTTCCTCATCTTTACTTAGTGTGTAATAGTGATTATCGTCTCCTCTCTCCTTCCGCTCTCATTGAGGAATAATGTCTGGAATAACCTTCAGTGCTGCACCCCCGACTCCAGTGGACCCCCCTCCTTCACCACCACTTCCATTTTATCCCCTTGTTCACATTTGAAGCGGTCGTTGTATGGATTATGGCCCCTCTCATACTTGGCACTGCACTCAACGCCTGAGATATATTATCATATTAGTGGAGAATGATGTAATGCATTTCAAGACATTTGTCCTTCGCACACCCTCTGTCCCTCCGCAGATGATGTCACTGGCTTTGTGTCTCGAAGGCAGAGAAGTTGTCAAGTGGCTTGTGGGGTTTTTTCTGCTTGATGCTGTCGCCATCTTATGGTGGGAGAGTGGAATTGGGAGATGAGTGGAAATGAAGGCAAGGGAGTAAATTAGGATGTAGGCAATTATTTATTACTGAACCAGAGGATAATGTGACTCATAATAGACGTCCTTGGTGTAACTGTACTGATGTGGTCTGTTGAGTCAGGGACAGAAGAAAAGAGACAGACACTTTGGATATGACTTGATTACAAATCAGGGTTTGACCGACATGCATTTTTGGAGCTTGTTGCCAATGACAGAGAGTTTTTATTAAAGTTGTTTATATTACATAATCAATAATCCTTTAATTTGGCCATATTCACAAACTAAAATATTATTAAAATAGTTTTTTTTTATATATTTTAGTCAGTGCTTTATCATTGCAGCAGAGAAACAAGCAACAAAACATAAACAAAACCTAAAAGTGAATTTGGAATATTAAAAGAAAAAATCTACCAACCAAGTCTGGTGACAAGGAAAAGAAAAGGAATGAGTAAGAAAGAAAATCTGTAGCCAAACTATATACATATATACACTACATATCTGATTAGGAACAGTCCAAGCTGTAACCGTTTGTACAAAACCAGCATGTTATTGATCATTTATATATTTATCTAACTTTATTTAATCATGTAGTGATTTGAGAGAAACAAGAAAAACTTGTCTGAGAGAACAAGAAAACTCATAGTCGAGACAACCATGCAGACAGCATATAAGAATAACACAAATAAGGCCAGACAACCAATGATCAAATGACAAATAGTTAATCAAAAAACCTGCAAGAGTCATAAAAACATCAGACAGTAAAGCTTTAAAATCTCCAAGGAGAATGAAAGACTCTAGCCTGAGGGCAGTCTGCAGTTTACAATAAATATTTGATCAAACGAGTAAGCATCACGCCACAAGGGAGGACTTACTGCAGCCCAGCATACTGGTCTAAACATATAATATATACATACTGATGAATACAGATCTATAGTATGTCATTCAATATTTGGCAAAAAGGAAAGGATTAAAGATGAAATCTTAGTGTGAAAATGTTCAACATTTACGGGTACCTGAATTACACATTAAACTAAAGTAATTAAAAAAGGGATGAAGTGGCAGGACAGGTTAAATGTGACTATATGAAGATATGAAGGGAAGCCTTTACTGCTGTTTATGCAGAATCATCTCACAATTATCAAAAACAAAGACATATAAACTACTAAAGCAAAAATGTGCTGCAAGGCCTCTATTAATCTTCCTCCTACTCTCTATGCAATGTGTTCAGCTTTTCTATGCATAGCTGCAAATGTATTACACACATTAATTTAGGAATATAACATGAAAGCACAAAATGGGAGTTGTGATGGTCTTAAAACTAGATCTGAAGGCCTTGTTTTTTGGCTGAATATCTTTTGAACACCAGCTATGAGGAACAGCTTCACTTCAAGATAGGGCCTCAAGATCAGGTAATAAAGTAAGATGTTATCAAGCACTAAATCATGACCTGAGTGGATAAAGGTGCAGAGTGCATGCAGTCAGATAATGACTTTGTGCATTGTTATATCATCTCCATGATGCAGATGCCTTCCCGTCACAGATACATTTCTCTGTGATTGTCTTGCACTGAAGCATCCATGTACTGTACTGTAAAATGCTTTTAAAAATCAACACTAAGACCCTCCTTGACCTCCACCCCTTACCACCCCACCCAAAAGATCCTCCCTGAATAAAATAGAAGATGAGTGTAAATAGCTCAGACGGAAGTCTGGACTGATTTTGATTAAACGTTGAGAAACAATGCTTTTTGGCACTGAGAATGACCTCATTGGGATGCTGTAGTTAAAGGTCAGTTTCAAACTTACCTCAAATACACAAATCCAATTAACACTGACCTTTTTGCGTACATCCAGAAAGTCACACCGCTCGGCCGCTAATTGATCCTTTAAGTGTGAAACTCTGTTTGATGAACATTAATCATTAATTTGTCTGATGTTTGTCAAGTAAACTGTAATTATGCTACTGCCTGTCACAGAAAACGTCTTGCCACATTCACACAGCATCAGGAGCAATTTGGGGTGCAGTATCTCGCTTAAGGACACTTCCACATGCAGCAGGAG